TTGTTATTATTATTATTATTAATATTATTATTGAATACCAACTCATGTCTTGCATAAGAAGAATGCGGAGTCAGACTTCCAAGAGAACTGGGTAGCCTCTAGTGGACAATTATGACCTAAAGTTAGAAGTCACTTAGTGTCAGCTCTGGTTGAATGGTTCAAAACAGTAACAAGCCCTGACACATTTGGGGTGGGTGGGGGTCTGAGGTCTCATCTTTCAGTGGAAGGCATGTTGTAAAAAGTAAGATCATGTTTTAATATTGCTACAATAATAAAGAAAAAATGCCTTACTAAATAGTTCTTAATTTTCTCCAAGTGAGTAAACAAAACCAAAATTCTTTATAACCCACAATCCAGTGAAGTATAGAATGTGGTAGACAAGAAATTCCTTGTGTAGTTTTCATTGGATGAAATATGAGTATGAGTTTTGGCATAAATTATGAACCTCTGTAGAAAAACCTCTGAAGAGAGAGGAATCATGCAAGATGAATATATGGTTTATTTCCGTTGGCTGATGCATGCAGTTAGATATAGGGATATTAAGTGTCATACTGGGAGGGAGAAAAGTATTTGTCTAAGGAGGACCACATAGGATCTGGGAAGAGGTTATCTAGTAGATCAGTAGAGATGTGATGAGAGTTAAGAATCACAGAGGTTCTGGGAGACCATATAGGTAAGACGCCTGTTTTTATAAGAGGCAGCAAAGGTAAGAAATATTTCTTTTAGGATTTTTAATTGAAAATTTTATTTTGTTAAGAAGTACATACATGAGTATTTACATAATTTCCACCCATCCTCCCCCTGCCCACATCTAATTCCATGTCCTCCAGACTCACATTCAAATTCATAGCTTCTTTTTTTATTAATTATTGTTACACACACACACACACACAAAAGTTTTGGTTTCTATAAAAAACACAAAAATATTGTGAGAATATGTTTTTGTTTTACTCTTACATGTGGGATGTGGGGCTACTTCAGATTGTCCCAGAAACTGACTATGATTTGTTTCTTACTCTAGTAGAGGCATGGTTTTGCCAACTGCAGAAAATTTCTGCGATTATGTGACAGTTGGAATTCTGGGAACTCTTCAGAGGGTATATAAGTGCTAGGGCTCCAAGAGGCATGGTGGGTTGATGATTAGTTGCATGTGGTTTGTTAAGTAGTAGCATGCAAAGAAGAAGCAACAAGAAGAAATTATGTATCCTGATGGTGAAGATCAAATTTGCCCCAAGGAACAAACAAACAAGCCACATCTAACACAAGTAAATGGTAAGAAATAACCTCAGAGCTAAAATCAATAGAAATAGAGACAAATGGACAAAGAACAGAAACAGTACAGAAAAATTAATGAAACAAAGAGTTGATTCTTTGAGAAAAATTAGATTGACAAATCCTTAGCCCAATTGACTAATAGGCAGAGAGAAGGAATCCATAGTAACAAAATTAGAGATAGGCTGTATAACAATAGGCACCAAGGAAATCCAGATAACCATAAGGACATACTTTAAAAATATGTACCACATCAATTTGGAAAATCTCAAAGAAATTAATTAATACATTTCTTTATACAGATCACCTCTGAAGTTAAATCAAGATCAAATAAGTAATTTAAACATACCTATAACCCTCAGTGAAATGAAAGCAATAATTAAAAGTCTCCCACCTCCCCAAATCCCAAAGGCAGATGGGTTCTGCTAGTTATTCTATCAAAATTTCAAAGAAGAATTAACACTAATAGTCCTCAAAGTATTCCAGAAAAGAGAAACAGAAGGATGAGTGTCCACTCCTTTTTATTGGGTCACAATTTCCTTAATACATTAACCACATAAAAACCAAAGAAAGAAAATTACAGACCAGTTTCCCTTATGAACATATATGTATAAATTTTTGATAAAATACTCACAAATCAAATCCAAGAACACATTAAAATGTTCATCCACCATGATCAAGTAAGTTTCATCCCAGAGATACAGGAATGGTTCAGTTTACATAAATCAATAATGTAATCTACCATACAAATGGACTGAAAGACAAATCCTACATGATCATATAATTAGATGCTGAAGAGGTCTTTGGCAATTTCCAACACCCCTTCATAGTATAAGTTCTGGAGACACTAGGGGTATAAAAGGCATACCTCAAATAATAAAAGCAAATTTCAGCAATCCTACAGCCAAAATCCACTTAAATGGAAACTTTAAGCATTTACATTAAAACTTGGATCCAGACATGGTTGTCCACTCCCTCTACCTATTCAGTATAGTACTCAACCTCTTAACTAGAGCAATAAGAAAACTGAAGGAGCTCAATGGGATACAAATAGGAAGGCAAGTTGTGAAAGTATCTTCAATTGCAGATGATATGATTGCATATGTAAATGATCCTAAAAAATGCTACCAGGAAACTCCTACAGCTGATAAGTTCTGTCAGCAAATTAGCAGGATTCAAAAGAAAAAAAAATCAATAGCCTTCTTATATTTAAAGGAGAAATAGACTGAGAAAGAAATAAGGGAAGCAATATCCTTTACAGTAGGTTTGAAAACTATCTTGGAAACTGTAAGCAAGTAAAAGATTTGGATAATATAAAAACCTTTGAAAACCTTAAGACATTGAAGTAATGTACTGAAGAAGATATCAGAAGATGGAAGAATCTCCCATGGTCATGGATTAACATGATCAGTACAGCAAAAATTGCCATTCTGCCCAAAGCAATCTATATATCCAATGTAATCTCTGTGAAAATTCTTACACAATTCTTCATAGAAATTGAAAGGATAATTTTCAGCTTCATGTGGAGACACAAGATAGCTAAAACACTCATGAATAATGAAAGAAGTGCTTAAGGTCTCACCATCCCTGATGTCAAATTGTACTACAGAGCTATAGTTATAAAAACAGCGTGGTGCTGGCTCAAAAACAGATATGTTGATGGATGAAATATATTTGAAGACCCAGACATAATTCAAAACACCTATTGACACCTGATATTCTACAAAGAAACTAGATAGACATACCAGAAAAAAGACAGCATCTTCAAAAAAAAATTGTGCTGGTCAAAGTGGACAGCCGCATGTAAGATGAATCTTAATAGATCAACATTTGTCACCCTACATAAAACACAACTCCAAATGGATCAAAAATTCTCAACATAAGGCCAGGTACCCTGTGGGGAAAATTTTAGAGGCCGCCTCAGTGGCTGGGCCCCAGAGGGGCTTCTGCCGCTGTGGCGGGTCCCACATTCGGGAAGAATCCTATGGTTCCAGCGGCCTGGAGGCCTTGGCGGCGGCAGGCCTCAATAACACGAGGAAGTCCTTGGTTCCAAAAAGGTTTATTGTCATGGCGGATGATGGATGGATCTAGGCGTACCCCCCCAAAACTCAGGGTAGTCCTGAGCTATATAGGGAGGGAGAAAAGGGGAGGATTGGGGGAGAATATGGGGAAGGCATGTTTAATTTGCTCTGCCCTCTGGCCTTCATTAGTATGTAAATCCCTAGGGCCTGAGGCCTATAGCCTGGCTTATGTAATTCTATGGAGACCGTGACTGCTTTTCAGGATCCTGGGTTCTGGGGGGCGCCAAACTCCTGCAGAATCCCACCCAGGATCTGCAGAGTCTCGGGGTTCTAGGTACCTGCTCCACCATGACCCAGGATACCCTTACACAATCCCACAGTACCCTGTATCTGATAGAAGATAATGTAGGGTATAATCTTGAACTTATTGACATGGGAAAAGACTTTTTGTACCAAATGCTGATAGCACAGGCACTAAGAACAAACATTAATAAGTGGGACCTCATGAAACTGAAAAGCAAAGGACACCATCATTCAGATAAAGCAGCAATCTACAGAATGGGAAAAGATTCTTCCCACCTATACATACAATAGAGGACTAATACCCAAAATATATAAAGAACTCAAAAACTGGACATCAAGATAACAATTAAAATATGTAATATAGTCATAAACAGAATTCTCAATGGACGACACTCATATAGCTGAGAAACACTTAAGGAAATGTTCAATATCCTTAGCCAGCAGGGAAATGCAAATCAAAACTACTCTAAGATCTCATCCTATACATCTCAGAATGACTAAGATCATTAACAAAATGACAGCTCATGCTGGTGCGGATGTGGGGCAAGGGAAACACTTCTCCATTGCCAGTAGGAGTGCAAACTTGTATATCCACTATGGAAATCAGTGTGGTTGTTTCTCAGGAAGATAAGAATCAAATTATTTCAAGATCCAGCTATACCACTCTTGGGCATATACCCAAAGGATTCTTTATTACAAGAGACACTTTGTGAACCCTGTTCATTGCTGCTATATTCATAATAGGCAGAAATTGAAAATAACCTAGGTGTCTCTTAACAGAAGAATGAATAAAGAAAATGTAGTACATTTACTAAATGGAGTATTAATTAGCTGTTAAAATAATGAAATCATGAGATAGATTGGTTCCATCTTCCTGAGGAACTGCCATACTGATTTCCATAGTGGCTGTACAAGCTTGCATTCTCTTCAGCAATGGATGAGTGTTTCTCTTACTCTACATCCTTACCAGCATGAGATGTTATTTGTTATATTCATCTTAGACATTTGGAGAGGTGTAAGATAAAAACCTCAATATAGTTTTGATTTGCATATTCTTGATTACTAAGGATGTCAAACAATTTAAGTGTTCCTTAGCCATTTGAGTTTCTTCTTTTGAAAATTGTCTTTTAAATCTGTATCCCATTTTATTTGGGTTATTTGTTTTCTTGATATTTAGTTTTTTTGAGTTCTTTGTATATTTGGATATTAGTCCTCCATTGGATGTGTAATTGGTAAAAATCTTTTCACATTCTGTTAGGCTGGTACTTTTTATGAATGATGATGTCTTCTACCTTAATGAATTTTCATAAGGTCCTATTTATTAATTGTCCATCTTAGTGCCTTCATTTTCATTGAAGTCTAGCAGCTCTTTTAACCTAAATATTGTTTTTTTTTCCACTTTAGGTACAAAATGCCAGTGATTTGCTGATCAAACCCCTGGAAACTTTTCGGAAGGAACAAATAGGTTTCACAAAGGTATTTTTTTGTATTAAATGTATAATGTCCAATTTAATAGTAATCGAGTAGTTGTTAGGGCTACCAGTCATCATTCTGTGATAATATAGTCATTAACCATGTGAGGCCAGAAGATACTCAGATATCCTAGATTTTACCTTATTTTGGAATTTATCTCTCTGGGTGTTTCCAAAAGAGATTGGTATTTGAATTGCTTGGCTGCCCTAATTCTTTTTCTTTTTTTTTATTATTTTATTTTTTTAAATCAAATCATAATTTTTACTTATTCACACAGTGGTTATAAACACAAAAAGGCAGGACATGGGGAAGGGGATGACACCACAGCCTGGGTGTTCAGGGGGAGTACAGGTATCTTTCAGAACAGGGTATCGGCTGGGTGTTCCACTTTTAGAGTCATGTTCCACTTAGTAATGGGAATACATTCTGAGAAATGTATCTGTAGCTGATTGCTTCCTTATCATCGTAGAGAATACAGAACATTGAGTGTAGATCACTCAATAGAGTTTCTTGATACAATTAAGAAATGTAGTAAGCATGAGATTTTTGAAGCTATGCCAGCATGATATAGCATACTGTTTATATATGTTTTATAAGGCCTATACTTGACAATAATGATATAAGTATGGTATAGTAAACATACAACCTAGAGACATAGCTTTTTTTTCTTTTCATGCATTAAGTACACAAGTGGATGTACTACAGTGTCTATGTTATTGGGAACACAGTACAAAGCATCTGAGACATAAGCAATGCCTGATGCTATGATGCTAGTATGCTATAAGGGCATGGGAGTGTCACAAACTTTTCTGCCCTTTTATGATCTCCCTCATCTTTCTTTCTTCCTCATATCTCCTCCCATCCTCTATTTACTCTCCTCCCCTTCGGTACATCTCTTCCTTCCCATTTGTTTTCTTCACTTTTCAGACAAAATATTAGTGTAGACTAATTAAACTAATTTGTGTAGACTAATTACTCAGGGTAGACTCAAACCACCAATCTTAGATTTTTAAGGCCCTGAATGCTGGGTTTTCAGATTTGCCCCACCACAACCAATTCTGTTAATGGTCTTTTTGGGTCACTGACATGTATGCAGTCTGTTGTTGAAAAATGTCAGATGTCCTTATGCAACACATAACTATATCTAAAACTGTGAAAGCACCACCAGAACCAAATACTCGGTGGGCTGCGAGAGTTTGGGGACTCATACTAGGGAGACCTGACAGTGCAGTGGAATGGCTTTTATATCTGGTGAGGATTCCGGAATAAATGTGAGGAGAGTGATAGAGAAAATCCCACTATCTAGATTATAGGTTATTGGTTATGTAGTGTTGTGAGGAATGTGGGTAGTAAGGGTGAACTAATGAAACAAGGATGCTATCGAGCATTTGGGAAAAGACAGTTCTTGCTCTAAAGTGGCAAAGAACTTGGGGGATTTTTATTTGTATTCAAGTAATTTTTGGAATTTGTTTGAAGCTGGGGATATGTAATTTTTAATAAACTTTAATTTATTCAAAAACTTTGTACAACTTTACGGTGTGTATTGATCACATCCTTCCACCAATACTTTCCTTCCCAACTTCCCCTGGTGTTTCCCACCCGATCACTCTCCCAACTTCATGTCTTGTTTTGTTACTAATAACCACCAAAGTCTCATTAGTTCTGTGTATATGTGCTTGGGTATGTGGCTACCCACTGGGGCATGGGCAGCCTACTCTTCCTCTAGCTGAGAAGGATTTTTTTTTTAAGCAGAGCACATAAAAAACAGCTAATTTTCTTCTGTCTGCTAGTAGTAAAATTGAAGAAGAGAAAATTTGAAGAAGGACTTTTTAAAACAAAATTATCTGTAGCTTTTAAAACAATTGGATCATTGTATTCATATTACAAAAAACAAAGCCTGAAAAACAAGAAAGAAGATTCTGAAGAGAAGTTGTCAAGATTAGTATGGTTGGGGCTGGAGATGACTCAGTAGTTCAGGGTTTGGGTATTGCTCTTGTGGAGAAGCACATTCAAAGTTGCCTGTAACTCCAGCTTCAGAGAATAGAATACCCTCATCTGGACTCCCTGGACACCTGCGCTCATGTGCACATACACACATATATACACTGCAAACAGTATAAATAAAAGTAATAAGGAATCTTAAAAGAAAGATTAGCATAGTTATGAGCTGAGGACCTAGTAAACTATCTCTATGAAAGACTATACATATGGAGATTGTACAAACATTGTTACCACCAGAGACTAAAGGAAACAAGTTAGAATGGATTAAGTTTTACAAAATGTGCTGTTCTTAAAGAAAAGTACCCAAAGATAATTCAGAAACCATTAGGATTCCCACTCCCATCACAGACCCTAGGCACAGGATTAGTTTGGTCCCAGTTTATGATTGTACTGATTTTGAGGTAGTTTGACAGTAGGGTGTCCCTGCAGCAAGACTTCAAAAAATGGGCCATTGCAGAAGGCATTGTGGGTCTCCCCTCTTCCTCTGAAAAAACTATCACAATGAACACTGTTTAGGGCCAAACTTCAGAAAAGTAAGAGTGATTTTATCATGTCACTCAACCAAGGAGGATTTTTCTGAGACCTCAAGTCCTCAAAGAGTTTCACTGGTTTCCAACTTACCTGTTGTCCATTGCTCTCCTTCCGTCTCTTACATTTTTGTTTTCTAGAATGGGAATGTCTGTCTTGTGCCCATACCTACATTTTTATAAGTATGTTGGTTGTTTGGTATCAGAGGCCCACAGCTAAAGATAATTTTACAGCAACTGTCAGCCATATCTAAATTATAAAACGAATGGGCTAAACTTTGAACTTTAGATATTTGAAGAGATACTGGACTGTGTTTACATTCGAAGTTGTTGGGATGAAGTGGCTCTGCTTTGCCTGTGAGAGAGTAGTGAAGTTGGTGAGGACAGGGGTGGGTAGAATGTTATGTTTGTGTCTCCCTAACTTCAGATATAGAAATGCTAAACTCTGTAAAGATTTCAGTTTCCTTTTAGGATTTCAGATGTTTCATTTGGAAAATGAGTCCCATGAAAACAATAGCCATCACTGGACTAAGTGGTTTTCCTTTTTTTTTTTAACAACCACAGTAATCCTTGTAGGCATATGACAAAGAGGTAAATGAGACTTAATACAAGACAAATAAAATGATAGATGTTATAGCATTAATATCAATAGCCTGGATTGGAACACAAGGGTCTTTTTAGCTTCAGATTTTACTCCTTTTCAAGTTAGGATCTTACTGTGAAGTCCAGGCTGGCCTGGGATGTCTTTCTCTTCCTCCTCCTTCAGCCTCCCTGATATCAGAATTACTGGTGTATACTACCATGCCCAACAACACATTTCTGTTAAGCTATGCTGTCTAGGTCTGCGCAGGACTCTAGGCTTGTCTCTTACTTACGATTCTCCTGCCTTAGAATCTTGAGTGCTGGGCTTATAGGTATGTACAACTGCACCTTGTTTGATTTACCATTATGATAGCCACCAGATATTTAAGTCTCAAGTCCTGAGAGTTGTTAGCCACATTTTAAGTCCTTAGTAGTCACAGGTAAATAGTAATTATTCAGTTGGAAAGCTTATACATAGATCCTGTCCATCATCATTGAAAGGCCTGTTGCACAATGCTATACCAGATGATTTCTGTTTCAGTATCCCTGGATCTCTTTTATTACTTATTATGTTAAAAAGTGACATTTTCAGTTTAATTTCTTCAACCTAATTACAAATCTCTTCCCAGTATATGTCCAACATGTAACCAAAGTATCTTCTCCTGTATAGGTTAAAATGCGTCATCTTGAATGAGTCCTAATGTTTGGAATAAGAATATGTCTTACAGTGGCTATTATTGGAATACCATGACAGTTGAGTTGGATAAAGAATATGACAGTAGCAGGAAAGAGATTTATTATCAGGTCAATTAGAAACGTCCACTATTAAATGAAAAGCTGAGGTTATAGCTCAGTAGTATAGTGCTTGACGAGCATATGTGAAGCCCTGGGTTCTGTGCCCACCACTCACATGAAAAGGAAAAGGAAAAGAAAGGGCAAAATAATAGGTGGATGCTTGATCCACCTATTGATCCTAGTGCTTGATATCATGAGCGAAGGTAATATGGGTATTCTACTAAGCTTCATCTGGCATCTAATTAGTATTAATACTTATTTTGGGAAGGTGCAACTTAAAAGACAGAAGAAACTTTGAAATTATAAATGTAATAGAAAAATATTTCCCATTTGATGAATTACAGAACCGTTAATATCTAACACTGAAAAGGGTTGAAGTGGTCATGTGTTTTGAAACCCACATATCTGACTTGCTTTCAATCCTGGCTGAGAACAGCAAAAGAAATGTAAGGATAATTATTTAGTGGTTGGCTATCATGCAGAAAGGGAGATTCCATGAAATATTTTGTGTATACTAAGCCTACACAAGAGATTTTATCAATCTGTCTTCTCACAGCAAACTTGTAAGGTAGGACTTAAAAATGTATTATCCTTTCGAGGAGACTTGAGATTCCAAAAGGTTAAAACACCCACCAGTCTTTTTCGAATCCTACAGACACATCTTTATCAATTGATCTAGCTTGCACTGCTACAAAGACCCATGTTTTATCAGAGTCATATCTCAAACAGACTACCTGGAATTGTCCCAATAGGGAAATTTAGGTTAGAGGATATTACACTTAACTAAGGGACAGAAAATGAAGTTGTTAGTCTACTGTTCTGCTTTCTTTTTATAGCCTCCTGGTTCCAAATTCACCCCTCCATATCTGATATATTTATATATAACAGACAGTTCCTTCAGTTATGTCTCTACAGTTATCATGGCATTAAACTTTCTCAGTAGACAACACTTTTTAGGGGACTTCAACATTTTGGGGGCTGTGTGGTGGGTCACTGCAGTGGTGGAGCTCAGAACACATGGTATATCACTTGACCTTGAAGCTTTCTGCCTTTTAATAACATTTTGCAGGTTTATTGACTTTGAAAGACCCCACAATT